AGTGGATGATCTCCCATAATGCGTTGTGTCAAACACGCGTGTGTGGGTCTCACACCGGGTCTCACGTGCACGAGAGGGCTCGGCCAACGCTCTGACCAATCAGAGCAGTTCATCAGAGCGGGAGTTAGAGCGAGAGCCAGACGAGCAGAGTTTGTGGCACTAAAGTGTGGATTTAAACAAAACCGAAGGATTTAAGAAGAAAAAAAGTTCAGGATGACAAAGGGACACTAAAATCCCCACAAAATACTATCTTTATTAAAGCTGTAGGTTCTCTGTCAGCTGAGGTCGAGCTGTTTTAATATGCATTGAGTTCTATGGGGAAAATTTCTGGGTAGCCCACGTGAATTTAATCTGGTTCAGTCTGCAGTACCGCGAGAATCCCCTGAGCACATGATTTTATTCAGCTACAAGCTAGGTAATACCCTATCCAGTTATTATAATAGATCCATGGGCCTATGCCACAGGACTGCCTTTTCTCTCTTCTCTCCACTGATGCCCAACACAATACTGCACTCTACAGGTGACAATTGCTCACTACACATAAATTTCAGTTCTGAGAGTGAAAATGGGTCTCAGGTGGGCTTCGAACCCCAGTACCTGGATTGACAGCCCATCGACACAACCACTGGACTATCTCAGTGCCAACGAAATGTTACAATCTAGTATTAATATCAGTCTTGCTGTACACGGCCTTGTCATCTTGAATATCCGCGAAAAAAGAACGAATACCAAATTGTAAACAACTTACAGCGTTGAAACGTTCGCACTCTGACGTCACCAAGGGCTGTGAAGTTTTTTCGTTTCTAAGGGCGTTGCTATGGGGTTATTTCGATTTGGGGGGATCAGACAAAAAAAACAACTGATTTTGAAACCTTTAGTAGTTCTCTTCTAATATAAAATGGTATTAAAACTGTATTTCTAAATAAATCAAACCCGGCATAAGGTCTTTAAAGCAGGGGTCTGTAACTCACCCAGAGTCTGAGTGATGCTGCTCTCTCTCTCTGATCTCTCTCTGTTCTTTCTCAGGTCAATCTCTCATCTCTCTCTCTGGTTTCTCTCTCGTCCTTCTCTGGTCTCTCTCTGGTCTCTCTGGTCCCTCTCTGGTCTCTCTATCTGGTCCCTCTCTGGTCTCTCCTGGGTCTCTCCCTGGTCTCTCCCTGGTCCCTCTCTGGTCTCTCTCTCTGGTCTCTCTCTCTGGTCCCTCTCTGGTTTCTCCTGGGTCTCTCCCTGGTCTCTCCCTGGTCCTTCTCTGGTCTCTCCTTGGTCTCTCTCTGGTCTCTCTCTGGTCCCTCTCTGGTCCCTCTCTGGTCTCTCTCTCTGGTTTCTCTCCCTGGTCTCTCTCTGGTCCCTCTCTGGTCTCTCTCTGGTCCCTCTCTGGTCTCTACCTCGGTCTCACTCTGGTCTCCCTCTGGTCTCTCTCTGGTCCCTCTCTGGTCTCTCTCTGGTCTCTCTCTGGTCCCTCTCTGGTCTCTCTATCTGGTCCCTCTCTGGTCTCTCTCTGGTCCCTCTCTGGTCTCTCTCTCTGGTTTCTCTCTCTGGTCTCTCTCTGGTCTCTCTCTCTGGTCTCTCTCTGGTCTCTCCTCGGTCTCACTCTGGTCTCTCCTCGGTCTCACTCTGGTCTCCCTCTGGTCTCTCTCTGGTCTCCCTCTGGTCCCTCTCTGGTCTCTCTCTGGTCCCTCTCTGGTCTCTCTCTGGTCCCTCTCTGGTCTCTCTCTGGTCCCTCTCTGGTATCTAGTTCTAGTAATAACTGTATATTTTAATAATTGTCTGATTTGGTTTGAGCTTCTGGACTTTGCTCGTCTCACGTCACTGCTTCAGTTTAGTTTGTGCAGACAGAGGATCAGCAGAGGTAAGACCAGCAAGAGACTGAAGAGAGACCTGCAAGAGACCAGCAAGAGACTGAGGAGAGACCAGCAAGAGACCAGAGAAACCAGAGAGACACGAGAGAGACCAGAGAGAGACACGAGAGACCAGACAGAATCCCTTTATAATGCAGATAATGTATTCAGAGATGAGATTAAAGTTCTTAAAGTCAGAAATTAAACACAAACTTTTAAAAATTAAACTAAAGAACTTCAAAGACATCACACTGTGACATCACACGCAGCCCCAGATCTTTGAAGCTTCTTCCGGAATGTTCTTATGACTGGAGGAGTCCTGGTTCAGACCTGGTTCAGACCTAGTTCACTCCTGGTTCACTCCTGGTTCAGACCTCTTTGGATCCAAAACAAAAAGTTCGAACGCCCTATAGGAGGTCACCTGTATGAGGGGGCGGGGCCAAATACTCAAGCTCCTCCCCCTCCTGTTCACCTGTGACATTCAGACCAGAGCAGGACTGAACCAGGTCCTCGTCTGGTCCCAGCTGCAGGTAAGACTATCAGCACTTTTCTCTTTCTGACTTTTACTTTAAAATGTTTAATCCCTATGGTAACGGTCATCACTGGGGTCTGCAGACGTGAGTGAGGCAGGGTCTCACTCACGCTGGTCTCACTCGGTAAAG